TTAGCTAGTGAATTCTCTTGTTAAAAAAACTTGGTATTCGTGAATAGTTTTTGGCCATTTACCAAATTTAGCAGGATTCATAAACATCACTCTGATCAATTATTTCATAATCCAATTGGAGCCTGTTAGATTCATGTAATTACTGTTTATATAATATATTGTTTCTTTTTAGGAAATATATCGTATCAAGCTACATTGTTTCTTTTTAGGAAATATATCGTATCAAGCTTCCTGGGCCACCAAACATAGGAGAAGGAAAGCCTGAAAATCAAAATCATGCTATAATTTTCACACGGGGTGAATCTCTCCAAACAATTGATATGAACCAGGTATTGTACTCTTCCTCCATTACCTTAAATATATGACTCCCATGTAGTTTGTCTTCATGCTGTCTGGTTTGTTAGGATAATTATTTGGAAGAAGCTTTGAAAATGAGAAATCTTCTGCAAGAATTCCTTCGGCATCAAGGACGACAGCATCCTACGATACTTGGTCTGAGGGAACACATATTCACTGGAAGGCATGTCTATTTTATCTCGTTGGATATTTCCTATATAATTGACAACGCTTTGCTTTTATAATAAACTTTTATGTTTTCTAAGTAGGAGAATATACTAGTTTCTTTATTTTCACGAGGAAAAGGTAAAAAGAGGACTTAAAACAGAACATTACCAATAGCAAGAAAGTTTAGCATATCTATTAAGAAAAAAAAAAAAAGAAGAGAACCGAATTTGTTCTTGACATCTGATTTTGAAATCTTCTTTTTTTTTTCCTCCTTTTTTCTTTTAAGAAAATGGAGGTGAGAATTGGGAATTATGAAACAGTTCAGACCTTATACGTTTTGACATATATTAAACACTTTCTGCAATATCATGTCAATGAACATATTAAGCGTTAGTTAGTAATTTCATTATAACATGTATATCATTTATCTTATGTAGACATCTTTGTAAAAAAAAAAATGCAGTGTTTCTTCTCTAGCATGGTTCATGTCATATCAAGAGACCAGCTTTGTCACAATTGGTCAAAGGCTTCTTGCAAATCCTCTCAGGTAAATAATCCTCAGATTTTGGAAATTACCAAAAATCATATGATCAGCTTGGCAATGTACACTCTGCAGTGTACAAGATGAAATCAAGTGCATAATGGAGATCAAAGGATTTGAAACAAATTCCACTCAGCTGTCATGTTAAGGAA